TTTCGGGGTTCAAAGTCCTTATTTGAATATTTGCTACTACCGCAACAGGTCGGCGTCGGGCCGTTTTCCCTGGGCCCGCGCGTGGGCACATAGCAGGCCTGCATTCGTGGCTCTGCAGCTTGCTATGAGAAACCGGAACGGGGTTGTCTCCCGAGAAAATTGAAGGGGTGGTGAGGTCTGGGAAAAAGGGGGTGGACCATCCAGTGGCACCAGGGCCGGGTTTTTTTGGGCCAGCCACTAGGCCTCCCCACCGATCCCCTCCCCCTGCGAGCTCAGTGGGGGAGGGGCATGGACCTAGTCAGGCGGTACCGGGCAACCGTAGGAAGAACCGTAGTGCACTGGGTTGCCGCAAAGCAGAATAGACAGGCAACGACGGGAATGGGTAACACTGCAGCAGCGGGCTGGGGGAGACTCCCTCGGGAGTCACGAAGTTGTACCTGCGTGCAGGTCGTTCGTCGGACATGGGTATAGGGGCGAAAGACTAATYGAACCGTCTAGTAGCTGGTTCYCTCCGAAGTTTYCCTCGGGCCGGCTGGCGCTGCAKRGTAGACCGCTGCGCTAAAATGCCAAGCGGGGAAGGAGCAGTGGCTGTCGGGTCGGGTGTTGGAGCAGAAAGGAACGATAGCGCAGAAGGGYCGATGATCGGGGGCACTGTGTAGCAGTTGGRCGCTGTGCTAACGACGACGGGCGGAGGGACGAGCATCAGCGCGGTGAGCCCAAGCGGAGAAGTAACGGGCGGCTGGGCACTGCACAAGCAACGACGGGCTAGGAGGAAGGGGAGAGGATGAGGCCAGCGAGACTGGCCGAATGTGGGCATGGTACAAGCCGGGTGCATACGGGGTAGCAGGGTGACGAACGGGTGGAGTGGACGAACAGAAAGACGGGACGAAGACAGACAGTAGAAGGAAAAAGTGAATGAATCAGGACCGGAATTGCGTCCGGGTACGTTCAAAGGTAAGGACGCAGGAGCAGGGCTATGGCGGACAGGAGGATGCGCGGTGCGCTCGATTCTTAACAGAATCAAGCCGGGTAAGAATCTATTTCGAGGTTTTAAGCACGGGCGACCGAGATCGTACTGATAGTTCTAACTGGAAGTTAGTAAATTTAGAGTTAGTAAGGAAAAACGCTCCGCAGAACTATGGCGGAGAGGGAAGGAGGCAGGAGTGAAAGTTTTGAATCTCACTCGATCCTCGGTGGATTCGAGTGAGATAAGATACTAAACTACGGATTTTAGACAGGGCGACCGTGGCTGTAGTATTAGATTTGATGGAAGATTAGTGAACAGGAAGTTAGTGAGAAAAGGTGGTGCGCGGAGGCACTCGAAAACGAATACGGCCGGGAGCGAAGATCGAATATCTCGCTCGATGCTTGGTGAAATCGAGCGAGACAAGACTCGTTTTGGAGGTTCTTGGACATGGTGAGTTAGGTAGCGTAGTTGGCTTGGTCAGTAGAGGACTGTGTAATGAGGTTTGAGGAAAGATAGACTGCGAGGAGTAAGGGGGAAAGAAGGTGGGTRGATTTGGACTGGGAAGTGYGTTAAATACATGCAGAATAAGGRAAAGTGCAGCAAGGGAGAGCGGGGAGATTCAGTCCGAGTTTGCCTTTCG